CGAACGATAGCAATAGAAATTTATTCTGAAATGTTTTATTTGGATTTATAAAGTAAAAACAACTCAAAAAATAATTTTAAAGATGTCTTGGTTATATTAACCAACCAAGCCTATAATTGTTGCGAAAACGAGACCATGGTCCAGCTACAGAGGTTTGCAATCAACATGTGGTTAAAGGCAATTAATCAGCGGGGTGGTCTGACTTTCCGTCGGATGAGAGCTTTGCCAATCCGGTCATTTGTCGGTGTTAGCTTGCAGGTTGAAGTGCGTGTTTTCTATCAGATGATCACATTCATACTGTTAATGTTTTAACTCGCTTTTTACTTGCCCTCTTTTATCTTTATTTATGTTAAAAATACATAGAGCCAAGTCACGTAACACTGACTTATTCTGGGTCAATGCTACTAAAAACCGTTTTATTCACAGACTCTCCTATAATTATAATACCATTACACATAACGATACCACTATTTACATATTTTTTAACAGTACTTCCATGTTTATATCCAAAGTTGCTAATTCAGTACAGACCTTCTTTTAGTTAAGGTAGGGACTCTTTTTATTCTCGATTTGCTTCCTTTGTATGTTATTATTTGTATTTTACTATATTTTATACATTTTTAAAACATCTTGTAATGGGCTATATGTAATTAAAATAAAATAAAATACGGTTGGTGTCAACCTTATAACAAGTGCTTGTTCAATAACTACGATATCACCGTGAGTAAGAGCCCAATCACACTTACAGTATTAGGCCGGCCTAGGGTTGGCCCAGGGCCGTCTTAAATTACAGCCGACTCTGGGCTGCATTACACACTTCTCCTTTGGGCCAAGTTGATGAATTGCAGGACAGGAAAGATTGAGGCAATCGCATTACATGATGTGGAACAGTAAATCCCAACCACATAAACACATGGAATTCATGCGAAACATGAAGCTAATTTCAATTAATTATTGTCCTTATACTGTACTTTTTCAACTTTTTAAACCTAGCATTTTGGTTCATGATTATTATAATAACCAAGGCCCATATTTTTTTGGTCAAATGAAATAAAGCCTAGCTTTGCTTTTTTTTTATATCAATATTTAAATTACAGCTGCTGACACAATAAAAGTTACTTAAAGTACACAGACTGGATCAGTTAAGGTGAGATAACAAACACTGATGAACCTAAAAAAAGAAAAATCATAGACATAACAAACTGCAAAATTAAAAGGGGATTATACAATACATTACACATAAAAATGCTCCTCAAAGGAAGCATGTGTATGCTGCAAAAACTAGGTCAATTTACTCTCTAGCATTTTCCAACTAGCAACTCACACAAAAAAACACACCGAACAGCCTACCACACCATGAATTGCAATGAACCTTAATAACACATTCCATTTTACAGCCGGAATGTCACTAACGCAGCATAGAGCCCTGTTCTTAACAGACGGCCATGAAATCTGGCCCATGTGAAGAATGGAATTAAATAAAATTTAAAAAAAAAAATAAATAAATCAATTGATAAATAATTTTCCCTATTACAAGTTAATACAAAAATGCAACCCTTGGGCCATGTTCACAGACATTTAAATGAATGATCACACCTTGCATAGAAGATAAATATTTGCATGTTGCGTTAGTATGCAACCCACTGAGATCTAAAAATATTTAATAATGACGACCAACCAAACGCCACTGATATTACTATTGTAATTTATAGCTATACCTGAAAAAGAATACCTGGGAAGACTTGATAATTGAGTAGACTCAAAATCAGTGTGGCACTTGCCACCTGCTAATTTTCCCATCATATTTTCTTTTCAATTGGGGAATTTTCCTCCCGCCTACTAAACACCAGCTTTCTTCCATAATTTTTCCAATATTCTTGTCCTAATAGTTTTCCCACTAATGTCCATTATCTATAAGACAATGTAAATCTGTTTGTATTTTTGCATTTTTTGTTTTCTCTACATAAATTATTGTATTGTCTTTGTAAGGCTACACCATAGGTGTACCAATGATACAAAAGCATTATCCAATCAATAGATCGATTGACTCTTGATGCATTTGAAATACTGATAAATCCTAAAGACATTGTAAAAACATAATTTTTAGAAAGTTTGCATCCGGGTTCATATATGAAATAAAAAAAAGAAAACAGGAAATCTCTTTTAATTAAACATAATTGCTCTTTTGGCCTATAAATATTACATAAAGTATTTCCTAGTCATACTACTGTACATATTTTGCTGCATCAGCTAATGCTCCAGCATGGAGCGGCAATATTATTTCTGGTACTATGTTATCATCACAATTGCTGTTCTACAGTACTTTTGCTCAGAATGTCTTTAGTGATTCTCTTCTACGATGATTATATAATGATTACGCATACTTTTATTTAAAAATCTATGTTACATAACATGCCTATTTCATTCAATATAATTCATTAAAATTAGCACCATCAATTTAATGCAGTATTCTTATACTGAACGATATGATTATACCAACACACACAATGTCCTTGTAGAACTTAGAAGCAGTTTTGGCGAAGTAGGAATGATTTGGTTCCCAACATTGAGGTATGGGGTGTCAATCCCTTGCTGTACTTTTCAATTGTGTTGTTAAGGTGTTTTAATTTCTACTTCAGCCTACCCAACTGTATCAGTGGGTACCAGCAAAATTTGTTGGAGTACATGCGATGGGCTAGTGTCCTGTTGAGATGAAACATGGCACTCCCGTCTGCTTCATATGCTGCAGAAAAATGGGGCCTATTGTTGTGTTGGGGTCTATGTTGACTCACAATAGAGGTTAGAACTCAAATTATATTCAGTAGACTTTATGCAGTTTCTTGTTATGTTTTATTGTATATCACAATCAATCAAATATACAAAATGTGCTGACTCTATAAAGTCTCTCTTCTTGTTCTAAGTATTCGTCTGATCACTTTGTAATGTAAACATAAAATGTTTCCCCTCTATCTACCTCTGTGTCTCTATCTCTGTGTCTCTATCTCTGTGTCTCTATCTAATAATTTCATTCTCTCATAATACATGGGACAAAAGGGGAGGAGCTATATAGATTCCAAGAAGATGGTTAATGACACATCAATGACTGATCAACTACCTGGGTGAATAACCTTAGTTACTTCCTGAAGCTGACATAAGTTAGGACTGGAAAATGTACCTGTTGGTGCTAATGTGGGTTTCCTTGGAATTCTCTTTTGTTAAATACTGTAAGAACAACAGTTTAACCATTGTTTTATTTGAATACCGACATGAGCTGGTATTCAGATAGGATGAATCATCATTGTTTGTTTGTGCGGAAATATTGTTTTGTTAAAAGCTATTGTTGGTCATTTTAAATTGCATTCTGGGTAAATAAATTTTAAAAAATCTTACAAAATACAATCAACATCAAATACATTGTAAACTAAAATGTAATATAGAAAAAAAAACAAACCCTTTACCATTTCAATTATAGAGAGCACAGGAAAGTAACTAATCTATTGCAAAACTAATTGTGATTTGTCAATCTCTTAAATGAGGTAAAAAATCATTCAAGCATAACTTGCGTTAGCCCTGTGGCATTACCTAATCTGGGATCTGCAGGTAGTATTAATAACGCCAAGGAGGTGGCGTTGCGGTGGCGTAAGTAACACCACTGCCTAGTTCACACACAAAGGCGATCGTTACGCCAGCCTTACGTTGTTTGTGTGAATATACCCTTAGATATAAAAGTGGCCAATATAGACTTGGACAGTTCATGGCGTAAAACTCTACAAGAGGTTTGCCAGGATCTCCATGGCTCAACACACACACAACAGCTACAACCAGTTCATCCAATACCACCTATAAAATACCTATCTTTTAAAACTTGTAGTAAGTTATTTTTTTACTTATAAACAAACATAATCTAAAAAGAGCACCAAATGTATGCTTGATATTGATTGCAAATCATGTGATATATCAATCACCAATTGTAGGGGCACAGAGTTTATTGGTTCATTGGTCTAGATCTTATCAAGTGGCTATTACAAAAAATATATAATGCAATCACTAAAATTTGATTGATAAATGCTTTGTATACTGTAGACCCTAAATATTTAATTTTGAGAAGTAAATTTTCAGACTCTATTATGCCGACAAGATGGATTATGGATGGATTTTGCATTGCAATTGCAATAAAACAAATTTGTATATGAAAACAAACATTGATTATCAACAAGGTATTACAAACATCTCACTTTATAGCAGGATGCTGTTAAGTACAAATAGGTCTAATAATAACAATATGTAAGACTTTTTTTTTTTAAACATATTTATAGAGGGTGACCCTTCTCCTAGGAGGTCAGCTGACATTCAGGACTTTTGTTAAATAAATGAAATAACGTGATGCTTCTCAGAGAAGTCTCTTTGACGCTTTGAAGTGGAGTTGTTGCTGTTGTCACAGGAATTGAACCCAGGACCCTGGGATTCGAGGGCAAGAATGTTAATCACCAAGCTATATAACTCCACTTATAGTGCTTATCTCCACTCCACACTTACAATATATAGCGCCTAATGCCTAATTATTCTATCTGGGCATGCTGCTAATCTGTCTTTTATTGTACTTCATGTTTGTGTTTTTGTATTCATGCCGAATTTATAAATAATAAATAAATACATAAATAAATAGCACTCCTAGGAGAGTCAACCATATGTGAAATGGCTTGCCTAAGGGCACAAGCAAAATAAACAGTAAGGGGATTGAACCTACGACCTCAAGGTTGAGATGTACAACCGCAACTGCTGGGCTAAACCACTCCTACAGTTAAGCGTTAAGTAGGCATGAAATAGGATTGGTGGGCCCTTGTACTTGGTCTATATTTAATTGTGTTAAATACAATTGATATTTTTTATCCAATAAAGATGTAAATCTAACATTGAACAAGGGGTTTTTTGAGGTTACCTTTACCCACACTGTCTCTTCAATCACTTATTTAGGTAAAATATGAGAGAATTTGAATTACCTGTAAACTGACGATCCAATGGGGATGTCCCACAACTTCAGATATTATAAGCTACAATATAAAAGAGAAAATATCTATAATAAAAAGAAAAATTAAGTTCATATCATCAACAAAATAATGAATCACACATCTTCATCTGAGACAATTCACCTATGATTGCAGGGGACCCAAGTATTCCGCAAGTTGTGAGAGCTTGCCTTTCATGAACCAGGACGGCCTTCTGCAGTCTTGCAAGCAAACAAGAATCTCATAGAAAATAACCAATCTCTCTGTAAATTCATAATAGATGCTCAATAGCGGATTCAAGGGGGCTCAGCCGGCTCGGGCCCCCCTCCCCCTGGTTTTTTCAAAATTTAAAAAAAAAAGAAAATGATACTTAAATTTGGAGTCTTAAGATTGCCACTTCCGGCTATCTAGAGGTGCCATAATCAAAAATTGTCTTGCCTCAGCCCCAACCATGGTGCGGCTGAGTTCACAGATCCTCCATCTGTGAAAAGTCCCTCTTTGAGCACCCTCTATTTCAAATACCTGGATCCTCCACTGATGCTTATTTTTACTTTGTCATTGATTGTCTCACTGAACTCAGTGTTGGTATCATCATTCATAGTGAAATAAAATTAAATCAGCTAAAAAGCTCATTTAACCCCATCTTAAGGAAGTGACTTTTTCCAGCTTGGTACCCTATGATCCCTCCTGCTAAATTACAAGGAGTGCAGCAATGGGAATTGAACCGGGGACCAAGAGATCGCCACAGTTCAACACACACACTGTATAACCACCAGTTTAGCCGACTAAGCTATCTGTTCTCTCTAAAACAATAATTCAATCCCATCCTATTTTTGCTTGCTAGATTCTCAAACTGGATGAAAATCTACTTAATGGAGACAGTATAGGACAAATCAATAAATCAAAGTTCTTTGGACACATCAAACCTGCCTGGAGAAGGTCTTTATGGAAGGTAGAGTAGAAGGCAAGAGTGGTAGTAATATGCCATGGAAGTTCTAACAGGATACTCAAGATTGGTTAACACCAGTGTTGTAGAGGCAGACCGAAAGGCTCTGGATAGAACATTCTTCCATGAAACTATCACAGGGATCCCCAGTTGAAAGAATCCACATCCGAGAGATCTGCTTAAATGAGCTTTCTTAACACATCTAATTATATTTTGCTGTGCGTGATGATACCCATTGGCACTGACTTAGGAGATAATTGATAATACAGTGCTAAGAACTTGATTTTTTAATTGAGTTAATGTTCTTTAATATAATTTTACCACTGATAGTATATCTTTTATTTTTATGAAAATATCCTTGTAATTGCAGGATCTAAGCCCAGGACCAAGATTTCACAATGTACTTTGTATTGTATACAGTGTTAAGGTGATTATTTCACATATGTTTATATACAAAATATATTAAATTAAACACCATTGTCCATTGTCCTGGTATGACTCAAAACACTTAACTACACCTGTACAGCCGCTGGAGATTGACTGGCAACTCCATTTGGTGGGGTTTTTTTTAGCGACGACATTAGGTCATCCAGAAACAAGAAAAAAATAAGACTCCCAACAAAAACGAAATATTGAATGTAGGACATAAATCACCCAGGACGAAAACCACCCGGACGAAAACCACCCAAAATATACCATTGTTGAAGTAGAGGGTGGACAGTGGGGTGGACAATGTTGGGTGCGCCTGATTTTATTAGCTTCACAATAGGTTAGATTACACTGTGACTTGCTATTATACGCCTTAAATTCATTCAACTCTTTTGACAACATGCATGTATGTTAATAATCATTGTAGATTTTTCCAGATTTCAGTAATCACTTTGCTTAAAGTTTGTATTTTTCTAATGGTTTTAACACAAAAATTAACTTCAAAGTTTAATGGAAATTCAAATGTAAAATTTGAATGGTTTTAACACAAAAATTAACTTCAAAGTTTAATGGAAATTCAAATGTAAAATTTGTAGTAGAGTTTTAATACATTTAATAATATTAATAGTATTTGTCTAATATTTTAGTATTCTAAATTTATTTAAAATTTCTACAAACTTTAAGCACAGTGATTACTGAGATCTACAATGATTATTAACATTAATCAAAATAGTTGAATGAATTAAAGGCGTATAATAGGAAGTCACAGTGTAATCTATCCTATGAAGCTGATAAAAACAGGCCCACCCAACATTGTCCACCACACTGCCCACCAAACATTAACAATGGTATATTCCATTTTGGGTAGTTTTCGTCTGGGTGGATAATGTCTGATTGATTAACCTTCAACAATCAACATATCCTTAAAAACATACAGAAGTCACGAACTAAAAGTTTGAATACAAATTAATTAACATAGTTATATGTCAGATTTATGTTATAGCACATAAATATGGATCAAGTGCTTGGACATAGATACAAGTAAAATGTACCAACCGAATAATTTCTTCTACAAGTATTTGTTTTTCTCATTTCTTCATTCTGCTGAACAGCATCTTTCATTTGTTTTTTAGATTGTAGGATTACTTTTTTGAAGAAATTGTTTATTTGAATATAATTATGAATACATTTTTTTGTTGCACCAGCATCACAATTACATATATAATAATTTTGAATTCATAATTTTAGATACTGTAAAACCTTGAATTGGAGCCCTAGGCTTCCTTTTTTTGCGAACTTTAGATTGGCTTCTTTTCGAAATGGGCTTCTTTTTGAGACTACTTTTGCAAGGTAAAGAGGGGGCTTCTTTTCAAAATGAATGCTTTTAAATTTTGGGAATTTGTACTATAAAACAATAAATACGGCCACTGTAACATCAATCTGTATCATGGAGTGTATTTAACTGGCATTAAATCACCAAAACTACTGTAAAAACCAAGCTTGTTTTTAATTTATTTTTGTTTTCTGAAATTGATGTACAGTGTACTATCTCGAAAAAAAGTCCTATGCTATCTTGAAAAGAAGATCATGGGCTTCTTTTCGAGGTTAATGTTGCAAACTAAAGAGTGGGGCTTCAATTCGAGATTAAGCCCACTGGGCTTCAATTCGGGGTTTTACAGTATATATATATATATACATAATTATAGACCTTGTAACCCAAATATTATAAATTGGGAGTAGGCTCATCAAGTGGAAATGATATGGGTTTACACCAAAGTGGGCTTCATTAGATATTGTGAAAGTGGCCTAATAAGCATTTCTCTGATGTTTAAAAATGCATGAAACCACAAATTATCACAGCGGCTCTGTCCTTGAAACTTTTTTTTGGTGAAAATGAGCAAATTAATGTTTTGAATAAAATTTTAAATAAAGCAATGTTGCCTTTTAATGTTGTTAATATAAAAGAAGATAAAGGCTTATGATTTGTATTATCATAACTCAATGATATACTATTATCGCTCTATTTGTGACAAGGAATGAGGATGCAGATATGTAATTGGATGGTTAGTTCTATTAATTATTAGGAGTGTTTTAACTAAGGCACCAACACAATAGAAAGGTTTTAGATAAGTATTCATATATAAATAGACTATATTCTGATGAGTATTTCATAGTATACTGAGACTTCCCAGACATCAGTAATCTAATGAATCACCTTGGTTATTCCATGCCTAATTTACTTGAACCGAGTAATTACATCACTCACGCAAGCCAATTAACCTTTAAGGACCTGCTTTGTTACAGCACACCAGCTTGAAAATTACCAATTAAAAAATCAGTCACGTACCAAAACATGTGCTAGTGTGATAGAACTCAGATAAAAAATATAAAATCATGTTTTTTCCCCCAGCTTATTTATGTTTTTTTTATCCTTCTAATTCAGGTACTGTATTCTGCTTATCTTTGATTTTTGTTTTTGGATTGCAGGAGATAACATAATTTATAAGCCATGTCAGAAATATCAGGTTTAATAAGCATTCTACTGTATTCTGCTACATCTATTGATAACCATGGCCACATAATTTCAATCAAACATGAAGAAATTGTAAGTTCACAAGAGATAAGATAATGTACAAAGAGTTTTACTTGCTCACAGGAGTAGTGATGGAATGCTGTACAAATACTTTTGAAGACTCCTGTGATTTACAAGAGATTTGTGACCCCGAAACTATAGTTTTTCTGGAAGTACTGCAAAGTCTTAAGAGCGTGTACAGCAACTTCCTTCTTTAAGGGTCACTTCGTGTCCGAGTTCCCTGGTACTTATTTGTTTATCAACAAACAAAGTATTGACCAGTACACCGGGGTGACATCCTACTCATCTTAAAAAATGTACTTGGTTTCTTTAAAGTCATATAAATGATCATATAAAAATGATACCTTATGTTCTTAAGAGATTTATGTGATCTACCTAAAAAAAATAGACATATTCAAATAGACAATGGACGAGTTGAATGGCTAAGGTGTTGAAGTAGGGCGCTGCAACATACAGCTTTTATATCTGCACTGGTTCAAGCAACACCTTCGCACATAGTGGTGCAACAATTCTTCTCAAATAAGGACTATAAACTATACAATTGGCTCATGTAACCGGCTTTGGCAAAACCCGCCATTTGTCACAATTTCTCATTCACAACCAAAATGTTTAAGAATCAGAATTTACAGATTTTTGCATTTTATAAAAGAAGATATATTGAAGAACACTTCTGCAAAAGATCAATCACTAAATGTAAGTGAAAAATATATTAAAATTATTTTCAAAATACAAATATTTGGAAGCTGTTTTCTCAAAACCTACATATGGTAGCTGATATCTAATGAATTAAATATTCATAATTTTGGTAATACTCAACCAATTTCCATCATATAAACACGGTTTCAAAGAAGAATTCATGCAGAATGTAAAAATACCCAAAACTTTATTTTTCCTACGAACATCTACTTTTTCCAGAGACGGTTATATTGTTTTGTATATATGATTAAAATTACTCCAACAACTTATTACCTTTTCCATCATGCTTTTCATAGCATCAACACGTTGACCTTCACCAATAAAATGGTTACCACTGCTTGCTGGGATTGCCTCGCCAATCATGTACAGAATTCGAATACACAGTTCAACTTCAGTAAAATTAACTGTCTTCCAGCAACTAGATGAAAATAAATTGTTGTTTATTGAAGATGTATTTTCATACGCAAAAATACAAAAAAATAAATCATAAAAACCTTTTTTAAATTTAACTTGCTATTTTCGAAGTAACACAAAAATTATCAACTTGAACATAGAAATTAATATTTACCCACAATTTTACAATGAATAATTATAGAACCACTTTACAGTCACTGGAAGTATTATATTATTTATTTTTTTTTATCATAATCCAATATAAAAATCAGGTCAAACATTTTTTTAATAATTTTCTATTTTTCAGGGGACAAAAATGGCATTGTGATTTGTACATGGATAAGATTTTTCATTTTACATCAAACAGAAAATACACACTGGTTAATGAGGGATGAAACTATTTGATGCTATATTACGAGGCTCAGCAAGTTGAGTTGTTTCAGGGCATTTAACTGGTTTTGTGATGATGATACTGTCTATGATTTGGATGATGATACTGATGACTGAGAAGATGATAAGGATGGCGACGATAAGAAAGATTAAGTTGATGCTAATCATAATGATGATATTTATGATTATGAAGAGGATAACGGCAGTGGCGACGGCGACTGATCATGATGTAAATTCAGATAATTAAAAATTTACAACAATAAAATTTGTGATAATGATAATAATAGCAAAATGATCATAATGACGACAATCATGAAAATAGTAATGATAATATTAAGAATCATTGTTTTCTGCTTTATAAAAAATCAATAATCCTTCCACAATGCATCAGGTTAGAAGATATATGTGAGCTGTTATGTGGTACAAAAAATGAGTTCCTGATATATTTAGGTAGTTGACTATATAGAATTTTGGTCTTTGAATAGGTTCCTATGTTGAGTATAACGGGAGTAAGATCAATTCTGAAAAATAGCTTTACAAAATGTGCCTCAAGAACTCCACTTTAGGTAACTCAACTTAGAACTTTTGCTACCATCAAATGTAAGTATTAAACTTATCAGAAACATTGAGGAGACCCATATTTTGTAAAAATATCACTTAGGATATATTTCCTTAAATATATATCAAATTGACCTAGCTTAACACATGACTCAATTCATCAAGAAACCTCACATATTGACATCATCACCTCACCTTAACGTAGACGTCACATACTGATGGACAGTTGCAAAAACAAGTTGTTGATCAAGCTGCGCTAGATTATCAAACAGCACTTTAATCTGTTTCCGATAGTCCTGGAACATCGCCTCATCTTCGCCTTGGGAGTCGAAGTTATAAGATTCATCAAATTCAAACTTTTTCAGGATAATATACAGCATTTGTTTTAGGAATTGTTTTTGGGCATCATTTGTGTGAATAATCTGAAAATATTAATGAAATTATAGTTTGGTTTATTTGTTTACTTCCTCAAACATATAAAATGTATACAATAAAAAAACATTAGGATAGACAGACAAATAAAAAATTCCTAATTTTTACAAAAGACCAACATGACAGGATTGAAATATAAAAATAGTAATTGCAGTAAATATAAAACAAAACAACTTAGAAAAATATACAATTCTGACATTCAAATCCGACTATTAAAATTAATAATTATACAAGAAATTACAAGATACAAATACTGAAATATATTAATTATAAAAATTACAAAATGAAACAAACCAATTACAACAATATCTATAAAATATATAATCAACACTCACACCTTAAAAATATTACAATCACAAAAAACAGGAATACCATTAGCAGGACAATTTAATTGTGTAGTTAAAAATGAGGATATGCCTTTCTATTGCACATCTGAGAATTTTATGAATAATTTAAGCAATTTACAAGGGTAATTGTCAAAATATATCAAATTGATTATTACAAAAAAAAATCAAACCATTTGAAATTTTTAAAGCATATAAACCATATGATCTATTCAGAATTGAAACAAGGATGATACACAAAATATGTTTTAGAATGTCTTAAAGACATTATTAAGTAAGACATTGTAAGTAATTATTACACTATTACTTACAACTGTGCAAACTATAAATGTTCATCAATATTTCATAATTCAATTAAACATATGTAGACTTTTATGTGTTTCAGTCAACAAGTAGAAAATTAATCATAAAAACTACTTGTCCTTATAGTATAGTCAATGTTTCTCCCTAGAAAACTAAAGTGTAACCGCACTAGCCTTTTTCTACAGTGCTGTCCTCATTCTCCGGTCCTGGGTAAAGGTACACCCCTCCCACCTTTCCAAAAAAAAAAAAAATTGATTCGACTTCATGTTCAAAATTCCCAACAAATTTCATATAGCAATTGATTAGAAAATTTGAAATATATTTAAGTTATACGAAAATTTTATGCCTGTTGATCTGGAACTTTGAATCTATGTTGCGAAAGAATTTCACAAGTATATTTAATCATCAATATCCGCATTAATTTAAACAAAAAAATCCCAAAATGACAAATCAGGAAATAGCGGAAATCCAAATAACACGGAAACATGCCAACTATTGAAATACCCTGGAAAACAGACTATATTCCTTGAACTCAGTGGTGGCATCAACAGGGGTCCAGGGTGCATAGCAGGAATCCCAAGCTAAAAGAAGCCACATTCGGAGAACTGTTAAAATCAGCTTAATACTAATTTTATCAATTTTTCCTGATATCCATTAGCACTGACTTCCGGGAGACAATTGATAATGCAGCAGTAAAAAACATGCAAATATTATGAATGTGGGGTTATTTTACAGGCAATTTGTCTTGCTTGCTGCAGTGTGGGAGACCTTATCCATTTCTGGGAGACTCTTACGGCTTACAAGAATCTTAGGACTCCTGGCGTAGAACCCCATTAGGGAAGACGCCAATTCATTATGTCGGGGAACACTACTTTAAAAATAATTTTTACAGACTGAGCGTGACATTCTGGGCATCTAAGGGGTGGTTATTTTTAAAATGTGCTCTAAACAAAGTGCAGAGGAGAAATTGAACCCCTGTTAGCAAATTTGGATTGCTTGTTGGAAACTTAGTTCCTTGAACCCCTCGTCAGAAAATTATGTTGCCACAACTGCTTGGACTTCATGAAGGAAATCATAGAAAACAACCTTCAGGAAACAAATTATGACGTGTTGGCACAAGAGTGAGGAACGTGGCGATTTTCCATCAAATGAAGTATAAACTAATCCATGCCTTTTTAATAAAAAATGACTTAAAATGTGTAGTAGTAGATAGTAAAATATGTTTCCAACCTGTTTTAAAACGGAAATATAATCTTTGGCAAAATCAGCTACGGCCAACGAAATGTCATCATCTTCATGATTAAGGAAATGGAACATAAGAGGTATTTTGGACTCGGTGGCAGCCAAAGTCCGTGCAGCATTAACATGGTCTTTGATTTTGGTTTCCCTGTAAAAAATGAAGCCAAAATTTCAGTTTTTTTATTTGGTTCAAAGAACAGTAAATGTGACAAAAACAAAATGACAGAAAGAAAAAAATAACTCAACTAGCTGGACAATATTTTCAAAAAATAAATGAAATCACTGCCTAGTGGCTCTCAGATATCAATGAGTACATTATCATAATAAAGTAAAGTCAATATAAACACTATAAATAAATATGTAAATTAGAAAAGTATCGACAAAATCATTGGTAAAAAGTACACTTGATAAACAATAACAATAATAATAATAATAATTGAAATAAAATTGCATGTAAAATGGGAACTGCATCTTCTTCACCAACATATAATTGTTTTCATTTTCATTATTATTATGAAAATGAAAACAATTTTATGTTTTCATTTTCATTACCGGTATACTTTGAATATATAACTGATTCATCATATCATAATAATGACAATAATGATGGCATGATATATATTATCATGACATTATCATAACACTATTTTTATTAGCACTGTCATATAGAGATTTTTTGTGTTCTATGGTCAGCTTTCAGTTGCGTTGACTAAAATAACATCCTGTACACAAATTTAGAAATTTGAGTTTTTTTATTGTACGATATTGGCATGTATGTAAACGTTGATACTTACTTCTGCCAACTAATGATGAGATTGCAACCCATTCCATTTATCAATCGTGCCAATTTTGCTAGAAAATCAACATCTTCATCCTGAATTTGCAACAAAAACAAACAAAAAATATGTCAATTCATGACATTGGTCATGTGATAATTTGTAATTACGTGAATAAAGTACATTAGTAATATTAGCGCCAGGATGTTATATAGGAGTAATGTTTTGCCATACCAGACGTGTTACCGTACCAAATACATTCCCAAGTACTTGCGATTTGGGTGGGAATCAAACCCACAACCTCCAAATAACTATCTTATCCAGGAGTCTCAACCACTAGACGACCAAGTTTGCACTTACTGGCTAGTGTTGAATCTGATCCCCAAGTGAGTACTGTACTGCAATGTTTTTTCTATGTTGTTTGTGTCAGAAAATTTTACAGGATTGATGGTTTGCCATACCTGATGTTCAGTGTAGTATCTAGGGGGGTATGTGCGCGGGACGCACACCCCTCCAAAAATTACTTACATCTCCTCAGTCTCCCAACAAAAAATCACGGTCAATTGTCGTTAAAAATCACATTATTTTGCAAATTAGCGTCTCTCAACTGATCATCGAGCCCCCACCCACTTTACCTTCGCACCCTCCATCAGCACCCCAATTGTAAAATTTCTAGATACGCCACTCCTATACATTAACATTACTATCAAAAACAAAATTGATAACTGAAATATGATGACATAAATTTGAATGATTATGATTCCAATGGAATTCCTCAACATTCAAACTTGCCTGTAATCACAAAACTGAGCATTAATTTTAGAAATGATCTGATTTAGAGGGCTCACTACATTTTATGCATTATTACTACAATTAACAATAGTAATCATCAGTAACGGCAAAAAAAGTTTCATTAATAACAATTAATAAAATATTCATAATAATATCAAGATTACTTAATAGTGGCTTCACCAGGTATACTGAGTACTGCTTTGATAAATAAATTCAAAAACATATTGTGAAAGTAATTGAAATCTATGCATGCTTTTTTGGTTTGATATTTTAAACTTTGTAACTGTACTGTTCTAATTTTCCTGTATCGTCAAATCTTAGTGGAAAAACACAAGAATACAGTCAGCTGTGCTTCTGTGGAGGCATGATGATTTAAACCCTGTCCACACAATAACATTTTATTTGACAAAAACAAATGACATGCCCAAATATGGCCATGATGACATCACATCATGACTACACATATGCATACAACACTTTATTCATCACAGAAATATGATAATTTGGACAGAGCTTTAGTGCTAAATTGTTGTCACTTTGTTTTTATTTTTCCCCACAACTGCAACAACAAACCATGTGAAGGACTGAGTAACCTTGCATAACTCTACAATTTTTCTTTAGTCAAGTACTTACGTGCTATACCTCTCTTTTATGTAAAATATTTTTGTTAATGGTATTTTCAAAAATTTCTTAAATTACAGTGTTACATAGTTTTTTGTAATGTTCGGGAATCATACAGTTTTTTGACATACCTCATGAATACATAAAATCTGCTGCACTAAAGATAGTATGATTTTATTGTTCAACTCTGGGCACTATGTTTATGAATACATATATCGACAGTTCTATCAGTCATCTCTTTCACTAAGTATAGCGGATGTAGTAGTAAAACAGATCAAAACACAACTGTGTCTGAGCCAGGGTAGATGAAATGGATGAGAAAAATATTTTTAGGGGGTGGGTGAGGAAAAAATAGTTACACGCAAAGCAAAGGATCACATTTGGATGACATGAAGATGGGTGGGATGATAAGGAAGTGGGAGTTTGGGAGTTCTGTGAGCTTGGACCTCATAGCTATGGAAAGACAAAAATCGATTGATTTTGATAACGTAAGCATGTTCTAACTAGACAGATATTAAAAGTGTGAATATACGAAAACCATACTTTTATTTTCCATTCTAATGCACAAAACTATCCACTGATGTTTAATATTAATAATAAAATAGGCCTACATAAAAAAATGTAATTTAATATGTTTAATATGTGCATTTATATAGCCAGAGATCCCAAGTCTCCCGAAAATCGCGGGTTCTCCCGATTTTTGAGGCCGTCTCCCACCCTCCCGATTTTTATTAATAGTCTCCCAAATTTTTTAAATATCCCGAAAATTTCACGAAAAATGTGATTTCCACGATGTCATAGAGCAATGAAACAAAATTTCTTATCTTAAGCCAATACACTATGGCGCTCGCTCAGCCTTAAAATGTCGTAAACAAGACCAGGGAGTTGTTATTTAAGTTGTTTATCAAAATAACAACTCCATGGCAAGGCAGGCCTAGATCCGTGGTAGAATTGCCTTGTTTATCCTCCATGTTACGATCTTTTTCATCCGCGCCGACCTCAATCAATGATATGGCTGTCAGTTGAGTAAATAATTTTCAACAAATTAACGAAATTAGAAATCACATGGGAATGGATGCCCCAATTTTTTTCACCGCGAAGATTTGGAACTTTGTAGAATCGGTGCATAAAAAATACTTTTTCTTTCAAGTAAGCTTCAGTTCTTTAATAACAATACTAAAAAAATCATAGTTAGTAGGTTTTGGTACTAAAGTAGTCTTTCGAAAAATGAAGTTTATTTTAATATCAATCCCGAAATACATGTAGGCCTAGGCTCTATCTGCACTGCAGGGTATGTATGTGTGTTGTGTTGAGTGGGCATCTGTGTGTAGTGGTAGTCGTGACTCTGCGGCCTTAGGCCTAGTTACGCACGTACATATGGAGCCTAGCGAGGCAGGATTTAATGTTTTTTCATGGCATTATGTACCAATTATTATAGGCTAGACATATATAAATGCTGACTTAAAACATGTATAGATGTGTATAAGAGACAGCCACAACGACTCATTACACTGTAATGAGTGCACTTTAA